AGACTGTTGATAAGCTTAGTGTTGGATTTGCGGAATGCAACTCTTTGGTCACTTCTTCTCCTCGAGCTTGACGTCCTCGCATGCTCGTCTATTTCGACGCCTTGAAGTGTGTTGATTGGATCTTCACTGAGATCTTTGTGAAATTGCACAAGAAAGCCACCGTCAGACTCGCCAGTTGTCAAGAAGCCTCGAAGAATACCCATGCTGTCTTCCACCGAAGATCGTACTGCAGAAAATGTTATGTCCCGATGCTGGAATAACTTACTGAGGTAGTGGTTGCCGCAGGAATGTCCGTTGAGAGAAACAAGAGTGCAACAAACCTATATTCCGCAACTGGTGATCTAATCCAATGACTACATGGTTTCCTAACGCTGCATCTTGACATAAAGGGCATTGGCAACCAAAATGTTTATTACTTATATCTATTAGGTATACTTACGGAATTTAATTAAATTAAATTAAAGCGCATAAATTCGAGTGTAGCAAGGCAAACACTAATGCAATAGTTTATGATCAATTACCTGTATTGTAAATTGCGCCATTCCTTGCTTTCCCAGTCGCTCGATGAGACGTTAACCATGCAATTGAGTAATAATCAGAGGCGGTGGAACAGTGGGCTAAAGAGAAGCAGTATAGTTGTATTAAAAATATCAGGAAAGAACGAAATATATTATGTCCAGGAAATAATTAAAAATATATTATACGTAGGGCAATTCAATGACCAAAATAACAGCTGTTCTACGCCACGGATTAAATATCCTATACTAGAAGTAAAGTTCCCGACTTTTCCCATGTTTTCTAAACCATTTAGCATTTCGGAATTGGTACAAAAATACAGATTTTACATCTTTTAACGTGATATTAAGCGAAACTAATTAGGATAGAAATTTTTATAAGAAGAGTTTAGTATGAAGAAATACTGTATAAAGATATTATATCATTTATATTAGTTATAGTAATATAAGATAATATTAATTATTAGGCATAAAGATTAAAGAGACTAAAGAGATTGTAGGAATTAGAATATGCATATCAAAGTATTCAACTGTTCAATCATTATTTGAATATGTACAAAGTTGCTCAAGAAACAAAAAAAAACATCCACACTGAAGAAAAAATATATCTCAACACGAAAGAAACATGCACACTGAACGAACCGTAAAAAATAACCCCGCTCGGATTAGGTGTTTTCCCCCTCGTTTAAACCTGGTTCACACTAGCGATTCTGTCGGCGATTTTTCAAACAAATGAGAATAAGCGATTCTGTCGGCGATTTTTCTCCTCCTGGCAAATGTGATCGAATGAATGACATGCAAAAGACTTGGAATGTTTTCTTTTGAAAAGCGACTGCATACTTTTCTGTTCGAGTTCACTGATTTGCATCCGTCAGAAACACAAAACCGGTGTGAACCAGGCTTCCGTATTGCGTAGTTGGTACTTATATGAAAATGTTGTTTAGTACATGTATAAATAATGCTGAAATTACAGTAGCAGTTTCCCAACTGTGTCAGTGACGTTACCACGTGCGTAACAGTAGCCTTCTGTCGATCTCGACAATCTAATATGTCTTAATTGGCAATAGAATAAATAAATTGAATTCTCCACAAACCAGCGTCAGACTGCTTTAGCACAGACAGCCGCTTCTGCTAATTCGAACTTCAATTTATTTTAGCGCTCAGTGAAATACAAACATAGAATATGTTTACAACGTATTAATTTTTAATAACAATAATAAATAATAATAATATAATAATAATGGTTTAATAGCATTTCCACATTGTGGCTATTCTATGCTACAACGTATGTTTTCGTAATTTATATGCTGAACACCATGAACTTAGTATATTTTGTCAGAATGCGATGGAGGTGGTGCATCTATCTTTTTCTGTAGTCCAATTTGTTACTTTGTTTACATTCTGAAGACATTATGTAATATATGAACAACGAGAGCGAGTGTTTCACCGGGATATCCAAACACGAGAAAACAATGTATGAGAACACGAGCGCGAAGCGCGAGTGTTTTCATACATTGTTTTCGAGTGTTTGGATATCCCCGTGAGACACGAGCTCGAGTTGTTTATATGGCTTCTCAAATGAATCGAGACGTAACAGAATGTTTTCGTTTCCTGATTTGAATAGAATTCTTAACCAAGCATAACGTAATTAGGAATTCTATTAAAGTAATTTTGCATGCGTAATTAAGATATTTGATGAAAACACTAGTGACTTTCATCAAGTATCCAAATGGCATCTTGTGATCAAATAGGTGATTATCATTGGCCGAATTACTCATGAATTATTAATGAATTTGAGAAGTACTATTTAAAACACAAGTAGGAGTACCAGGGGAGTGTATCTAAAAGTCGAGGGTCGAGAGTAAAGGTCGAGAGTAAAAGTCGAGAGTAAAAGTCGAGAGTCGAGAGTAAAAGTCGAGAGTAAAAGTCGAGAGTAAAAAGTCGAGAGTCGATTGAGAGTAAAAAGTCGAGAGTCGGCAAATGTCATCAGAAACAACACATTGGGG